CTGAAAACACATTTCCCTTAAAAATGTATACCATTTGCACAATGATAAAATTGTGAACTTCTTCAAATATGCCACTTCACGAGCAAGTAGCGCTCAGGCATTCAGAGTTTAATTCTTGCTTCTTGCTAGGGCACCAATGCACCTCTGCTTATCATCATGGAAAACTCTTTTATTTGCAGGTGGAAACATCATTAACATAAGCCAATGCAGTAATCATGTCAGACTGTCAAGACTAAAAGAACCCTAGCCGGTTTGGCTCAGCGGTTGGAGTGTTGGCCTGTGGACCAGAGAGTCTTGGGTTCGGTTCTCGCTAGGGGCACGTACCAAAAAAAAAAAAAAGACTAAAAGAAACCCTGGGGATCACGGAGTTCAGGACCAAGAATTAGTCTTTAGAATTTCCTGTGACCCTGGAGGTCACACAAAGAGTAGTAATCGTCACAATGAAATGTATTTATACTAGGATAATGAATGATTTATGCTCTCTGAAAGGACTAAAATAATTATGGAATAATAGAATTGTAGAGATTGAAGGAATTTGGGGGGGCTACTGTGAAAATTAGTGGCTGATTAGGATTTGAAGTCTAACTTCCAAGACTGATGCCAACTAGATCACAGAGCTTACTGGAAATATTAAAAATAAATATTGCTTAATCTTTGAAATGTTAAAACATCACCTTCAAAAAAGCTATGAAGCATCAGTGGCGAGAAAACCAATGAAAACAATCTAATTTGCGGAAACCGACACAAACAAACAAAATCTACAACAAGACAGAACCAAACCAGTTTGAGATGTGTCTTTTAGGGGCACCGAAGGCAAACTTGGTGTGCTATATAATTCTGCTTAATATTCACTACCATTTACCGGACACTTACTGTTATGCTACCTCATAAGATGAGTGACTTGAATGAAGTCCTTTGTTCCTCACAAACAATTCTACTGAGGTTGGTAGTGTTATTAATATTCCTACTTCATACATGAAGAGTCAAAGGCAAAAGGAAGCCGTATCTCTGAGATAGAAACTGTGGCAGTTAGAGGCTGGAACCCATGCAGGACGTGGGCTGCCTCCAGCTTGGCCATGCTGCCTCGGCCAGCCCTGTGACTTCGGGTAAACACGGAACTCTAAGTTTGCTTCGGGGGTCTCGAGTTCTCTCCTTTTGCACCCCTCCCACTGAATCCAGCGAGTCAGTGTTGTACCTATCTAACCACATGTTACTTTTTAGTGTCCACAAGCAGGGTTCAGGTTAGGGCAATGATTAAGAATTCACAAGCCCTGGACGGTTTGGTTCAGCGGTTGGAGCGTCGGCCTGTGGACCAGAGAGTCCCGGGTTCGGTTCCCGCTGAGGGCACGTACCAAAAAAAAAAAAAAAAAAAAAAAAAAAAAAAATTTATATAAATCAAACAGATTTAGAAAAATCTATGGAGAACATAGACAAGATGGTAAAGGGTCTAGAAACCATCTCAGTAAACGATTCCATGAATTTGGGATTATTAGCATAGAAGGGGGAGTCAGATGAAGTAAATGGCAGCTCTCTTCAAAGATTTGAAAGCCTTTCACAGCAAAAGAAGATTAGAAATAAGATGGGGGGTTTATAATAGGTAGAACTTTTAGCTTAATGGAATAAAGAACTTCACAGTAATCAGACCTTGTCGATAGTGGGGTGGGCTGTCTCGGGACCTTTCTCGAAGGGACTAGAGGACAAACAGCTGGGAGCAATGCAGTGGGTGGGCTGGTTGCCTGGATGGCCTTCAAGGTCCCTTTTAATTGAAATATGATTATTGATTCAAGTTTATGGTTCAAAGTCAGATATCAGAGCTGTTTAATTCTTCATTCGATTTTTGTGTTAACTCCAATGTTTCGTGAGGATCAGACCGGAAGTCTGGGCTAATGCCCTATAGGTGACGTTCAGGGAGGTCTCGGGACCTTTGTACGTGGGAGATCTCACGTTCCTTTCTTCCTGTGGTATTTTTTGGGGTCACTGGAAATTGCTAGGAGAAGAGAGAAAAATAATGGTTTCCTTCCGTATTACACTTGGTCAGAACACGAGTGAAATCACGTTGAAAGCCAGAGGGAGACATTTCAGAAAATAAACAGAAGAAAACTTCACTGGAGACAGTGGCAGTTCCCACACTAAACTGACAGGTGGCCTGGGTCTGTTTTCTGTCCCCAGATCCTGCCAGGTCTCCTGGAAGACAATGTGGATGCTCAGAAAAAATCGCTCAATCTTTATTTGTTTGGGAATAAAGCCTCTCTTTTTCTGAAGGGTGACCTTGTCAAAGTGATATACGCATTAATTCCCTACATCCTGGCCGGCCTATCAGAACAACCCTGGGCCGTGACCTAGGATGAGAGGGAGGGAGGCAGAGGAGGTAAGAAGAGCCTGGGGATTCCCTGGGCTCAGCTGCCAAGACCATGCTGTCCTCCTGCCCACCCCCACCTCCGATAACATCCCAACACCTCCCCTCCCGCCACCCCGCATGTGTTCTCTAGGATTCTTTTGTTGTTGTTGTTAATCCTCACCCGAGGATATGTTTCCATTGATTTTTTAGATAGAATGGAAGGGAGGGAGGGAGAGAAACATCATTGGGAGAGAGACAAATGGATTGGTTGCCTCCCGCACAGCCCCAGGGCTGGGGATCAAACCTGCAACTCAAGTATGTGCCCTTGACTGGGAATCGAACCTGAGACCCTTCCGTCCACAGGCCCATGCTCCCACCGCTGAGCCACACGGGTCAGAGCTCTCTAGGATTCATTTTGATAAAGAACCTGCCTCAGTTTAGGTCAACAGACCTACCCATTGGTCTACAGTCAACTGAACTATTCTGCAGACACACAGAAGTGAATGAACCGAGAAACACTGTGTGACTTGTTGCTTAGAACTGTCAGCCCTTTGCAAATGGCATGCTTCAAGAGGAAATGCGTTTAGCGATATCCTCCTAGTGTACTGTCCTGAGTACCTTTTTCAAGTACTTTAGGCTCCCAAAAAACACACAGCTTACTGGATGCAGAGCAGACAGGGGGACAGGACCGTACGTGGATCGCCCGCTGTCTTCAGGAAAGCGGCTGCACTAGAACCGAAAGGGGTCTGGCACCCCGAATACTACTGAGAGCAGTGCTTTCTAAAGGTCTATGGGAAGGACCCGTTTTGTCGGTTTATTTACATACTCTAACTTCAATCCATTCCAAATGGATGTTCTTATAAACTCTGATACCTATAAAAAATGAAAGTCTTTTTTATTGTAATATCCCACAGACATCACACTAGTCTGTCGAATGGCTATGAACGTGTGGAAAGGCTGGCTCTCCATTTCCTACCCCTCTGGCCGCAGAGGGCGACAAGCAGGCAGTGGGCCGCTATTCGAGCAGCTGGCCGGGCACTCGCCTTCCTTAGTCTCCCCAGGTGCTGTGAGGACTAAGATGATTGGAAAGGTGTGTAACCATCCACAAGGTGCCATCCACATTTTAAATTATTATTGTCCTCATTAACAATAAGAGCAGTTGAAAATGATGACAAGGGGCCAAGTCCATTTTCTGTTCTTCTGCCAGGCAGCCATTAAGGTGGCGCAATGGAGACAGAACACCCAGCGGCGGCGCCTTCCCAACAGTCACCAGTTCCCCAGACACAGAGTCCCTGGCCGGGGGCAGAAAGGGGAGAAGCCGCTGGGAGTTGGGAAACTGCACCAGAAAGCTCCCGGCAGGGTCCACCTTGCCTCTGGCTCTCTGCCGGGTGACCAGCAGGGGCCCCGCCGTGCAATGTTCCACCTGCAGGACCCAGTTCACAGAGGTCACTGGCCTGGGACAGGCGGTCCAGGTCCCAGCTCGGGCACACCCTTTGTGCCCGATGGCCACTTTCTTCTTGTCATGCCAGGGAGCTAGGTCAAGCAACACGCCTTGGACTCCTAGTGGGAAATTTCAGCCACCTCTGGGCACAAGAAGGGTGGTGTTTGAACACACACACACACACACACACACACACACACACACACACACTTCCGAGCTATTCAGAACCAGCCGGAGAGCTCTCCCCAGCGGCAAAACCAGGGTCTTTGCTGCGGGCCTGCCCGTGGGGTTCTCTCGGCAGATCCCCCAGCGATGCCGTCGGAAGCAGGTCCCGGTGAAGGAGGCTGCACCAGCTGCTCCACTCTGGAGGCTCATGGCATCTACGCAGCCCCGACTGCCCGCTTCCGCCCTCCTCAAGAACAGAGCACACCTTCACCTCCCAGCCCTCTGGTTCCCAACGCATGCTGCCAGCTCTCACCTTTTCTTATTTTGTATTCAAAGGACATTTTATATAATAAAACACTTGTAAAATAAAGAAAAAGCAGTACAGGAAGAGATGAAATAGAAAAACAAAAGGTTTTTCTCTCCAACTCCCTGCCCTAGGGGTAACTACTATTTTTTAAAAATTATTTTATTTATTTATTTAATTTATTTTTATCCTCACCTGAGCACATTTTTTTTTTTTTTTTGCATTTATCTTCAGATAGAGCCGGAGGGAGAGAAGGAGGAAGAGAGAGAGAGAAACATCGAAGTGAGAGAGACACATCGAGTGGCTGCCACCCACACGGCCCCATGGGGCCGGGGACAAACTGCAACCGAGGTGCGTGCCCTTAGCGGGAACCGAACCTGGGTCTCTCTGGTCTGCGGGCTGACACTCTAACCGCTGAGCCAAACCGGCCAGGGCGTAACTACTACTAATGATGATGTGTGTATGCTTTCCCAGAACATCAAGGCCCATGCAGATACAACATGTGCTAGCATCTATGTTACTTTTTCTTTTCGACAAATGTGATTGTACCATAGTTTGGCAACTGGCCAACATTATTTTTCCTTCTATACTTCCTTCTATACTTTCTTTGATATTCAGATTTTGGTCAAATTTTCCTTTCAAACGTTTCTCCCCCCCAGTGGCCTTGGTCCTCACATCCCTATGTCGTGATCAAGTCCCCAGCCCTTCTTCTGTCCCCTCCCCAGCCAAGTCCATCTTGCACCCCCCATTACCTTTCCAGCCTCTGCATGGTCATGGCCAGCGTCTTGTTCAGCTCGTCGATCATCCTGCAGCCCGAGGGGTGCATGGGCAGGGAGCCGGTGGCGGAGGGGAGGTGCTGGCTGAGACTGCCATACTGCAGCTGGTGCTGGATCTGGGATGGCAGGACCGTGTGGTGGTGCTGGGCCCCACCCTGCTGGCCACTCTTCTGGGCTGCGTAGGATGCCAGGGAGAGGTCTGGCCCCCCTACGGGCATGCAGATCATGACTTTCTTTGGAGGTAGCGGAGGCGACAGTTTCACTGGCAGACAAGGCAATTTCACAGGGGCGCCAGGATCTACAGCAGAGGAGGTGAGACAGGTGTGAGCTTTGGAGGAAGAAACGCAGAACACTGCACATGCCCACCTTGGGCATGGCCACCGAGAGGCCTGAGATAGAATGCACCCACCGAAGACACCAGCAGAGTCGGTGCAGCTCAGCACGCCCCCATCCTCTTGTTTCCTGCCTAAAGTGTGCTGGCCCACAGGGTCCTCGGGGGCTCAGGCGTTAGTGGTGTCTGTCACACAGCTGTCACACACCTTCCAGCACAGGAAAGGGAGCGAATGCAAAGTGCCCTTCTGCTCACGGAAAACCAGGGACCTTCACACACCTTTGCGAGGCTGAGCCATGATGCCTACAACTTGGCCATCACGATGTGAACTAACCTATCAGGTGGCACTTTCTAACAGGCAAGAGATTGGAGTCAGCCCCAGGTTCAAGCCCTGTAACAGCATACCAGTCCGCAAGAGACTCTAACACTGCCAACCTCCACTCCCTCCCTGCAACCTGAGGACGATGTCCACATCTGGGAGGGGGATGCAGTCACACAGGGGCCCAGGGGCCCATATGGGGTGGGCTGTGGGCTTGGTGGCTGGACTGGCCTGGCCACTCACGTGGCATCCGTGGCAGGCTGCTCGGACTGCAGGAGGCTCCGACAGGCACTCTGGAGCCCGGTGGAACTGGCCCCCGCCAGCCCCCTGGTTCCACGCAGTGGCACTGCAGCTTCCCACAGACACTGAATCAGGGAAGCTCCGGGTTTAACCAGCCCTCAGGGCGTCTTTGGGATGGCCTTGCCGTCCTCTGCTGTGCCCACACTTCTGGGCATCATCCAGCACGGGGAGGGGGCACGGCCGAGTCCTGCGGGTTGCAGGCTGCGGGAGAACGAGGTCAGGAAGGCAGCAGGGGAGGGGAGGTGGGTGAGCACAGGCCGCTCACCCCTGCTGCTCGTGCCCGGAGCAGTGCGGGCTCCACTCGGGTCTTTCAGGCTCTGGATTCTTCTCCAACTCTGTCTGCTTTGAGTGTGGCCGTTTACCTGCCACAGTCCTGCCAAAATGACATCCCTAGAGCACACATCTGATCACGTCGCTCCTGGTGTAAAACCCACCAATGGCCTACGACTAAAGCTCAACTTCGAGGCGTCCATGACCTTTGCTGTTCGGCGCCTCTCCTCAGGTCACACTGACCGCCTCGATCCGCTCCCTCCGGTTGGGGACAGCCTCTCCTTCGACGTGCCCTGCTTTTCTCCCACGAAGTTTACTCATTCACCCCAAAACTGAGTTCCACACTCAGCTCAGTCCTACCAGGTGGCCTCTGTCCCTCATAGTCTCCCGCCTTCCCTAGCCCCCCACATTCAGTGATCACCTCTCCCACTTCACAGAGAACCCCGTGGTGAGCCTTGTTCTCCCCACGACCCATGGGCACCCACCCTCACTCCTGAACCCCCTGGTGCTTCCACACCCCTGGGCCTGGGTCGCTTTCCCTCAAATAGGAACTTTCTCACTTTTGTCTTCTTGGTCAATTCCTTCTCTCTCTTCAAGATCCAGCTCAAAAATGACCTCACCTGAAACATTTCCCTTGATCATCACATCACTCCTGCCATGCCGCACCCCCTGGACCACTGTGGGCGTGTGGTGTGTCGGGGGGCGGCGCCAGAGGGCCACCAGGGCCAGCACCCCCACTGGCTTCCCACGTGCCAGAGGTTGTCCCAAGTGCTTTTCGCGCCTGACCATTCAGTCCCACGGGAGCCTGTGACGTGGACCGCGCTATCGGCTCCCCTTCACAGAGATGATGGCACTGATCTGCGCTTCCTGTTTACATCGCCAGCTCCTCTGGAGAACAAAGACCGTGAACGATTTGTCCTCATCGCCTTAGCATCCTAACAGGCACACAGCTCACACAGCAGGAGGCTCAAAACATGTTTACAGAGTGAGCTGAGTCTAGATGCTCCTGTGAGGGATGAATTCACACCTCCCACAGAAAGAGACAGGCCGGGAGGTAGATATGAGCATGAAATGGATCACAGTTCTGGGATCGTGCAGCTGAGGGTGTAGGGCCACTCCACAGCTGATCCTACAGCAGAGACACAGAAAAGCCTACGGGCCCGGGGGCCTGATAAGATGGCTCCCCTAACACCAAACTGTGAACTAAGCATAACCACCAGGCTCCCGTATACTCTCCCCTGAAGCTCATGCTGTTCAGGACGACCCTCACGCACAGGCCACCGTGGTGCTAATTCCAGAGTGGTTGAGATGCAGAAACTCACCACCTTTATCCTGTTCCTGTTACTAAAGGGGCATTCCCGTGGCTCTTGGACGCTTTAGCACACATCTAGCAAATGCAACGTGTCTGCAAGCGTTCAAGTTTTTCATCAGGGACCCTTAACCCACGAGTCCTTCATTTGTGGGTCTAGCTGTCTGTCTAAGGCAGGTAGGTGCTCAGATGCAGGAGAAAGCAGACCAGGAGGGCAGCATGGACGGTCTGCCCAGGGAGGCACAGTGACTGCACCAGGTTCCACTGTCTTGTGACGCTCTAACTTCCTGCACACTGTCCCCCACAGCACTACCTCTCATACCTCCATGTCGAGAATTGCTTGGTCTCATCCCTGGGAAAACAGCCAAGTGTATGCCAGGAATTCTACCAAAACAGGCCCGGAGGAAATGAACAGCGGGAGCACATCAGAGGAGGTGGATACTTTTCTTATCCCAGGAAAGATGGGCTGGGCCAGGAGGACCCGCTCCTCCCTCTCCCGCCTGCACCTGCCTTCGGTTGTTTCACTACGTACGAGAATACATTTAATAGTGGCAGGCAATGAAAGTCAACCGTTCAAAATAATTTTTGGCTCAGTAGGTTTGGTAAAAAGGGAGGAAATTAAGAAAGAGGGTAAAACCAGGGGGACTTGCTGGCTCTCAGTAAATCAGCTCTGTAGTCTCTATCTCTTGCCAGCACTGTGGGTGACCTAGGCGTGCCCAGGCAGCTCAGATCTTTAGAAACCTGGCAATGCCTGTTGTTATATCTTCATGACCTCTTTTTTTTAATCCTCACCCAAGGACATTTTTGCTTTTTATCTTGAGATATAGAGTGGGAGGGAGAGAAAGAAGAAGGAAGGAGAGAGAGAGAGAAACATCGATGTGAGAGAGACACATCGAGTGGTTGCCACCCACACGACCCCAACTGGGGCCGGGGACAAACTGAAACCGAGGTATGTGCCCTTAGCGGGAACCAAACCCGGGCCTCTCTGGTCCATGGGCTGATGCTCTAACCGCTGAGCCAAACTGGCCAGGGCTAAGGCCCCTTTTTTATTAAAATATATTTTTATTTATTTTTAGAGAGAGAAAAGGGGGGGGGGAGGGACAAAGAGAAACATCAATGTGAGCAAGAAATATTGATCAGCTGCCTCCCACATGCACCCTGACCAAGGATTAAACTTGTAACCTGGGCACGTGCCCTGACCGAGAATCAAACCAGTGACCTTTCGGTGCTCGGCACACACTGGCCAGGGCTCTCTGCAACATCTCAGTACCAAGTCACTCCTTATGACAGACCTGGAGACACGACTTGGAGCCATCTGTACCATCAGTCATTCTGAATGTGTCCATTTCTCTCTGTCCCTCGCAAACTTCTGTGTTCTCTGCCTTCCCCAAGGCTGGATTAGGTGCCCACCGCTGGGTTCCCCCAGGCTCCGTGCTTCGTCACAGCGTTTCAGAGAGTCCATTGAACTCATTTCACTTTTCTTGGCTTGTTGCTGATTTCTGTTCTTTTTTTGCAGTAGGTGGAGGCGATGCACTAATGAAATCACATTGGATTTGGCTGTTTCCTACCTGTTCACTAGTAGGGGCTGAGCCTAGCGCATAGTAGGTGCTTGATAAACATTTGTTGGTTTTCCTTCTCACTATGTCTTTCAGGCAGTGAGGAAGGTAGAGCTTAGTGACCTGTTTCTCTCACGCTAAGGCCCTGCCAGTCAAAGTGTGGCCCCTGGACCAGCAGCAGCAGAACCTCTTGGGAGCATGACAGGCATGCAGATCCCAGGGCCGAGCTCGGACCTTCTGGATCAGAAGGCCCCAGGGGAGCCTCCACGGTCCAGTCTGAGAAAGGCATCCCTTAGGCGCCATTCCTTTGTGAAGAGGCTGCTCCCTCCACAGGCAAATGGGGGAGGAAGCTGCTTGCTCTCTGAGGGTGGGGCATGGGCTTCCGGAAGCTTCTGCTGCAGGTGGAGGGTAGAAAGGCCTAGCGAAGTCACCACTGGCTTAGAACTCAGAAGACTGGGGTTTAATCCCCCATGTAAGGCCAAGAAGCCCTGTTCCTTTGCCTAAGCCATTTGGCCTTTTTGAGCCTCGGTTTTCTCATCTGCAGAAAGAGGGCATCACCCACCTGTGGGCCTGCTTGAGAAGGAAATGGGTCAGCGGCTACACGACCTCCATGGAAGGTGCCGAGGGGATGAGTGTGCTGAAACCCCGCCTGAGGTCCGCCTGACGGGGGCTGGGGCTCCCCAGAGGAAGGGGCAGCTGCACTGCACTCATTCCTCCGAAGGGCACATTTGTATAATCTCACAAAGTCCCCATACAGACTAGCACAGGATCTGAGTATAAAATAACCCCTAGTACAATCCTTAATATGTAACAGTTCAACAGATAAGGTCCTAATGGATTCTGAAGAAATGGTGACACACTCGCTGCCTGCCCCAGAGGTGCTGTGAGGGTCAGCCCAGAGGAAGTGGGCGAGCTCTGTGAACCGCGAAGCACTGTAGACCTGGGCAGTGTTACTAACGGGGCTCTTGCCACACCCTGAGAGTCCACCTGGCCGCGTGCTTCCTGGTCTGGGGCGTGAAGATGGCCAGAAAGCAACAGAGAGTGTGGTGCTTGTTGTAAGTAGGGGAAACCGGGTGCAAGTGAACCAAGCAGGGGGCAGAGAGGCCCCCCCAGCACCATCGTTGCAGTTCACCGTGGATGACAGCGCGGCAGGAGGGCAGGAGGAGGGGCGCCCAGGTCTCGGAGTGCCGTTGCCATGCGCGGCCTGTCAGTG